CATGAAACTGATCGGAAGATATGAACCTCATCGGGACAGATTAGGGTTTCTCTCTCTCTCTCTCTCTCTCTCTCTCTCTCTCTCTCTCTCTCTCTCTCTCTCTCTCTCAAAAGCACACACGCGCCCGTTTTTTCGGTTTGTTCGTCTTTTCTTTTTTGGGTCCCCATGGACCACGGAATCAGGTATGAAACGGATCGGTACAGGTAAGACACGATGGTGTTCTTTTTTTTGGGGGGGCGGTGGGGGCTTATGTACTCTCTCTCCCTCTCTCTCTCTAGCGCGCCCGCGCTCTAGGTTTTCCCGTTTCTTTTATTCCGTTTTTTCAATTGGTCCAAATGGAGCATGGATCAGTCATGAAACTGTTCGGAAGATATGAACCTCATCGGGACAGATAATAGACTTGATGGTGGTGGGCGGAGGAGGGGGTCGTAGTTAGTTCTCTCTCTCTCTCTCTCTCTCTCTCTCGCGCGCGCGCGCGAGCGCGGGCGCTGCTTTCCGTTTCTTTCTTTTTGGGTCCCGATGGACCGCGGATCAGATGTGAAACTGATTGGTGCAGATAATACACTTGACAGCAGGTTGTAGGCTCTCTCTCTCTCTCTCTCTCTCTCTCTCTCTCTCTCTCTCTCTCTCTCTCACACTCACACACACACACACACAGACACGTGCGCGCACGGACACATACGCTCTCTCTCTCATAGTTTCAAGACCACAGCCCTACAGGCCCTGTGTCGTTTCAGCCTAAAAGCCCGAAAACAAGGGCCTATAGGCCCTTTGTCGTTTCAGCCTAAAAGCCTGAAAACGAGGGCCATTTTCAGGCCCTCATAAAGTCGACCTGCCCTGAAACTTTGGCACCAGACCAGGGTTTTAGCACAGGCCATTTTGGGCCTGTTTTCAAGACAACCTTTGTTTTGACTTCAACGCCAGGGTCTGGCACATTTTGGCATTGGCAAGAGCAGCCTCCTGGACGGGCCAGCACTATATAAGACTGGCCCGCCCTGCAGGCTGC